ATTTGTTAGTCTCTAAGGTGCCACAAGTACTCCTGTTCTTTTCCCCTACTGTTACTCACACCTTCTTGTCAACTGTTTGAAATGGGCCATCCTGATTATCACTACAAAAGTTTTTTTTCTCCTGCTGATAATAGCCCACCTTAATTGATTAGTCTCGTTAGAGTTGGTATGGCAACCCCCATTTTTTCATGTTCTCTGTATATGTATATATAGATAGATATATCTTCCTACTGTATTTTCCACTGCATGCAGCTGATGAAGTGGGTTTTAGCCCACTGAAGCTTATGCCCAGATAAATTTGTTAGGGCAGGTCTACACTAACCCCCCAATTCGAACTAAGGTACGCAACTTCAGCTACGTGAATAACGTAGCTGAAGTTCGAAGTACCTTAGTTCGAACCTACCTCGGTCCAGACGCGGCAGGCAGGCTCCCCCATCGACTTCGCGGTACTCCTCTCGCCGAGCTGGAGTACCGCAGTCGATGGCGAGCACTTCCGGGTTCGACTTATCTCGTCCAGACAAGACGCGATAAGTCGAACCCAGAAGTTCGATTTGCTTGCCACCGAACTACCGGGTAGTGTAGACCTACCCTTAGTCTCTAAGGTGCCCCAAGTACCCCTCGTTCTTTTTCCAAAGACCTGAGAATCCATTAGAAGGCAATAAGTGTAATGAGCAATGCAGGCTTGTCTACACACAAAATGTCCTGGTGCTTGGGAAGAATGGAGTTAGGTGACGTGAGACTGAATGTGATTTGTCCTGGGCTGCGCACTGCACTGTCAGCTTTTCACAGTCCTGTTCAGCCGTGATCTGATCAGCAGAACGGGCAAGCTGTAGGAGGCCAGAAGGGGAGCGTGGGGAATAGTGAGAGTCACCCAAGTCGCACAGAACCCAATCTCCTTCTTTGGCCACCAGCTCCCCACTTCAGCAGCTGACTGCTTTGCATTAGCACCTATTTCTGGGATATGGTAGATCACCTTTGAAGTACACAGTAATACATTCGTTTCTGTAGCACCTTTCATGCCAAAGTGCTTAGTAAACCGAGGGCAGGTCCACCAGTGACATGGAGCCACCTCTGGGGCAAAAGGCAGCAGTAGTTTAATAGTGCACAGCAACACTAGGCAGCACTTTGGGACGTAATAAGGGGCATTATCTAGATAACCGTCAAAGGTATTTATAAGGCACTTATCACCTTAGTATCCAAGCGCTGAAGCAAATGGACCATGAAGAGATGCAAGCCCTTAGTCTTCTGATGTGAAGTCAGATACCCGATCCATTAGGCCACATGGTCACACAGCATGCTGGGGGGTATTTTATGCCTTCCTCTGAAGTATCTGTTGTTGGTCACTGCAGGAAACTGAAAGGGAAGGTGTGGAGCTGTTAGTACAGGACTGACTGTGCCCATGAGTGGGTGTCATGCCAGCATGGAAGTGACTATGCTAATGCATTGTGTTAAGCATCTGATGTTTCCAGAGACCCAAGCAGACTCCAAATGAGCTGAGCGCTCATGCAATTGATTAAAAAGTGTTAGTTTCTTTCCTGACAAGGCTGACTCTGTGTGGAGTGCTTACCAAACCTAGAAGGACCATTGCTCTGGTCAGGGGTGGCGGGTCATTACCGGTGCTCCAGAAGGGGCATATTTGATCATAAAGGACAAAGGTGACGGTGCTAGGGGAGCCAATCACACTTTATAATCAGGACACTCCAATGGCAATATAATTATAGTGCAGTCACAGGGTGGTTATGCTTTTTGATACGTAATTCATATAGCTAGAAAGTTCATTACATGACTGGGAATGACTACAGTGCATAATTAATATACATGGATTCTACTAGTATATATGAATTAGAGGGGTAATAATAAGTAACCCAGCCATGAAGATAACCTTCCAGTTATGTGACTTCATGATAATTGCACACGGAGAGGCAAAGCTGCCGTGTAACTCTCCTGTAATTGTAATAACCTTATTAGAAAGGGTGACTGAGATATCTAGCTTTAAAGCAACCCTTGGTTAGAAAGGCCCAGGTTTCCTTTAGACTTAGAGATACATTTCTCACGCAGTGGCTACAATGAATACAGTGGCTTCTGACCAAGGATACAAAAGCAGTCACCACATATTGCCCAATTAAATCTCATAATCCTCCTGTGTGGTAGGTCTGTATCGTATCCCCATTTAAGAGTACCAAAGCACAGGGAGATGAAGGAACTTGCCTGAGGTCTCACAGTGAGTCAGTTGCAGAGCAGCTAGGCATGGCACTTAGAAGAGTTCTGACTTGCAGCCCCCTGCTCTTACCACTATACACACTCCCTCCTGGAGCTAGGTATGAACCCAGGAGCCCTGGGTCCCAGTCTCGCGATCTGCTGTTAGAGACACTCCCTTCCAGAGATGGCCATAGAAACAAGGAGCCATGACTCCCAGAAACGAGTGCCAACCACTGGAAATAACCCTGCAGGCCAGTGCATGTGGTTGATGTGTAGCTGAACTGGGGGGCACTGTGTGATTGGGGGCATGCTGTAGAATTTCTGAGTTGAACGGGGGTGCAGCTACTCCTCCTGAGACTTTCAGAGCAGGAGATGGCCTGGTCTAAAGGGGTGTTTCAGTTCCAGTCTCAGTCCTGGATTTGTGCTCCTTTTATGGGAGCTTTTGTAGCGCTGCGCTCCCTCCTAGGTCCCTCTCAGCACTGCCTGAGTGTGGCAAAACCCCAGGCCAGCACCTGGGCTCAGTAGCGTGGGCAGAGAGCATTCAGAGGGAGACAACCGAATTCCAGTGGCAGAGGGCCTGGGCAGGCGCTGGCTTGGTTTCCTAGATTGTCCCCCCTTCTGCTATGATCTCTGCTTCCAGAACACGCCACTTACGCCAGCCACGCATTGGCAGCTCAGTGCCTCCACCCCCCGCCTCCACATTCCAGGGGAGCGGAAAGTGTCCGTGGCCGGGGGTTGAGTGGGGGCAGCAAGGACTCCCAGGGAGGGAGTGTGGAGAGAAGGGAGTTCACCTTTCCCTTGCCAGGCGTACACAGTGGCTTGATTCTCACAATAAATGGCAGGCGGCCACTGACTTGGCCTGGTGCAGTGATACCAAATGGACACACTGTATCAAACCCCATCGACTCTGAAGAACGCTGCTCTGGACACAGATAAACAAAGTATTGGCTATTGGCCCACATCCGTCTGCTGTCAGCCTCCTCCCCATGTAGGTTTTAGCCTGACTTCTACTGAGAGGTGCCAGGGTTCTTCTTTGGCACAACCCCAGGGCCAGGGTGGGAGAGTGCCCAAGGTCACTTGTGGTTGGGAGCATGTTGGGCCACTAGCTAGAGCTGCAAGCTAGCCCATCACCTCCCACTGCAAGGAATCAGGGAACCTGCGACCCCCTCTGCAGTGGGTTGCTAGCCATTCATCTGAGCAAGGGGAGGCACAAACCTCCTGGGGCATCACTGCATGCAGGCTGGGAGGGGAGTAACTGTGTTCTTTCCCCTGCAAGTCATAAGTCACCAGCCACTTGATGCTATTGTATGATGCTGGCCAAAAAGCCACCCTTGTCCCCAGCTCTCACGCTCTGCACCCCAGCTGAGCTGCTGAACTCCAGTGCTTGTGGCTTTCCTGCACAGATGCCCCAATGCTGTAAGTTAAAAGAAGCAGGTAGCCACTACCACAGGCGCATACCCCTCCTATGCCAGGTGTGTGCTGCTGGGAGTGGGGGATTGGATGAGTCAGTCACCCTCTCCCCACTTCTGTTAATTGAGGTTGGTTTCTCCAACTTGGGGACACAACAAGCCGCACTGCCAAGCTGCCTCCCCCACCCCCTTTCTCCTCCCTCACAGGCTCCTGCTAGGTAAGGTTCCTCCTTCCTTCTCCAGCTGCTGAATGACTTGCAGGGAAGCCAGAAGGGAAGGTTCTGCCCCTGTCTGCAGAGACTCTTCCAAGCTTTCAGGGCTGACACATGGGAAGTGCTAGCAATAGCCTGCAAGCAAGCCCCTGCTCCCTCGCGTAATCTCTCTGTTGGATCCAAGCTTGGAACTTACTGGAGCCTGAGCCTCTGAAGTGTCTTCTCCTCCCCAGATGGGAGCACCTTGCCTTGAGCCACCTTCCCATGTAGGAGGATGCAGCTACCAGGCTGCAGGAGGGATGCAACCCAGTGAATAAACTGAGGAAAGCAGCAAGTTTCTATTTTGGGGAAGGGTGGGGTGGGGAGGAAAGGGGAAATGGATGAAACAAACTTGGATGCTATGAAGGTTCTTGAAGCACAGCAAGGATCCTGGTAAAGATTAAAAAAAGAAAGGAAGGAAGAAGACGGATGCGCTGCTCCAGCCATCTCCATGCACTCTATCAATTTTTGTTCCAGGCACTTTATGATCACATGTGGTCTTAAAGGTGCAAGAAGTGGGGTTGTTTTTTTCTGGCATCTCCTTTCCTGCTGTTACTGGGGGCTTCAGACTAAAAAGGAGGGGACACCGCTCCTTAGCTTCACCCCCAGGAATGTGCCAGTTTTAAGAGATCTTTGCAGCTTTGGGAGAGTTTGAGAGCACTCAGCTCAGAGCTGATTTAGTTCATTTTATGTATTTATCTCTTTTTTTTTTCTTCTGGCAAGCGACATGCAGCAGTACGTCAGCCTCCAAAACCTTTCCATGTAAGCGCTTTCTTCTTTCCTCACAGCTAGCTTTGTTCCAATTATTTGCAACAAGGTTTAATCAATAGTGTATTAGTAGTAGACAGAATAACCCCCAAACAAAACCCTGTGTATTTTTTTTTCTCTCTCTCTTTTGTTTCCAAATACAGATGTTTCCAGCTCTTAATGCTCTCCTGTCAAACCCAGGTACGTTTGCAACAGACTGTCTGTTTTACTAACCAACCCCCCCCTTCCAAATGCAAAAAGTCAGGTTACGTTTTTTTCGATTTACTTGTGGAGTTCTTTCTTTGCAACAAAACCAAATTGTTTAAAGACACCGGGCTGCAATAGCATTCAAACCCAAAGTGCCCAAAGCTCTTTTGGAAACCAGAGTAATTGCTTTTTTTTCCCTGTGGTGCACTGCTTTAATCCTAAAGGTGGCATGTATCAGTTTGTGTGGTGCTTGAAAATAAATTGGCTAATGTTGTGCTCTCAACCAAAATCAAAATGTTACCTGTGCATTCTGTTTTGCTAATGCTGACAATACTGATTTATTTTTATTAAAGTTATTAAACATAGCACAGTTTTAAAAGTTAAGGAGCTCTCTCTTGCAAATACCTATGCACATGGGTAACTTTACTCACATGAGTAAACCTAAGGGGTAGATTCTAATCACAGACCAGCATCGCTCAGGAGTAACTGTACTGACAGTGCAGTTGCACTGGCCTGAGAGCAGAATCTTGCCCAAGGAACTCAAATGGCACTACTCAGGTGAGTAAAATTACTTATGTGCATGTTTGAAGGTTCAGGACCAATTGTAGGACTGGATAATCATGAAGGTAAGACTAATTATTTTAACTGTTTCAGAAATGAAATTGTGTCTATCTAGGAGTAGATGTAATAGACAGTTACGGTCAATGGGATTGCTCCTATGTGTAACTGCTCACGGGATTGGGCCTTACCCCTAGATAACGGGTACATTGTGCTGTATAGGAACCCGGTATATTTCGTTAGAATACTGCTCATTGAGGGGAAATGCTCCATTCCAGAAATATACAAAGTTGAGATTTTTGGGACCTGAGTCTCCTCTCACACCAGTTTCATACCAGTGTGACTCCATCAGGCCAGATCTGCAGCTGGTGTAAATCAGCATTGATTTCAGTGGCGCTATTCCAGTTTACACCAGCTGGGGATCTGTCCCAATCACTTCAGTGGAGTTTCTTCTGATTTACACCAGCATGATATGTGAGAGCAGAATCAGGCCCGTTGGTTTTAAATCCAAAGTCAGAGCAGCTTGCCGTGGCTTGGGGTTTAACCCCCCACCCCCCATTCCTTTTAAAGATGCAGTGTCCCTTTTTGTGATCTCAATAAAAGCCAGGGCTATTAAAAGGCACTGTTCCATACCAGCACCCTCTCAGCTAGGCTCCAAACCGTTTTAACAGGCCAGCCTTGGATTCCTTAACATGCACTCCGGACCTTTTTAAGGTAAATGCCTTTGAAAACAAGAGGGGAATGGAGGTGCCTTTGATGGGGACAGAAACACCCCCAAAGCCTCTAAAGCGAATCCTTGCCGGAAGTCAGACCCTAGACACTTCCTCACCCCACCCCCCAACACACACGCACACACAAAAAGGCTCAGGGATGCAGCGTGTTGTGGAGCAGAAATTAGCACAATGGTGTTGGGCCTGGTTTTATTGCCCCCTTGGGGGTGGGGGGCTCATTTGATGGCGCTGTGAAAGGTGGTGTGGGGCTTTCCCTTGAACTGCTTGCCTTTCCCCCACTGAGGGTGTATGGCAGGCGGGGCGAGAGGGGGGGCAAGCTGGCAAAGGCCAGAGCCATGCTTGAGCTCCTGTGTGATGAGCAGCTGTCTCTGGGACCGCTGATCACCAGTTCCTTTGGCAGCAGCAAGGGGTCGATCCCCCCCAGCGGCCACACTAAAGACCTGTGAAGATTCCACATAGATAATGTTTGCTGTGATCTTTGCTAGACCCTCTCTGTCCTCCTTTGTGAGGGAGGTGGGGAAGAGGTGGGGGGGGGGGGAAGAGAGAGAGAGAGAGAGAGAGAGAGAGAGAGAGGTAGGTT